CATACACTAGCCGAAACGAGGAGCCGATTGAGAAAGTTTGTAAGTTGTATACATGCGCGAAAAGCGTAACGTCTAGCACCAGGGAAAATGTAATCATCGCACCGAGTTCAAATGCCGGACTAATCTGTTGTGTTATCTTTCGTACTAATTTGGAAAGGTATAGATACATCTCTTCCCTTCTTGTTATGGGTTAAATTGCAGTGTCAACTGAACTCTCTAGGCCTGGATAACACCCTTTCTAGAAGGACAATTGTGAAGAAGGCTACAGGAGACCAGTCTACTAGCTTTTTCAAATTTTTGACATTTCACAAATAAAAAAAAGAAATCTGTAAGAACTCATAGTCCCTCACACCCTTTACGAGCAAATTGCAATAAAATTCTCCAAGGTAGTTGAATATCCACAAATGTTGGGCAAAATCTTAGAATTAAAGTGAAGGAACTTCTAGACACGGCAGTAAAAGAAAGCATGAAGAAAAGACTACACCATTGAAACAAAACGAATAATTCCGTTATAATTCACTATTTTTTAATATTTTTCCAAGGAAACATGACCCTATACGCATGTTAGTGCTTCTTATGCCCATTCCACCTGGTCGTTCCTTGCAGAGTGTCCACAGATTCTCGACTGGATTTAAACCAGGAGAGCTTCCATGCCAGTCTATAGTACTTGGATTTGCTCACTGGTAAGGCTTGCCAGTTTGTTTGTGCAGCGTTACAATTTTCGTACGCTTCTTTGGAGTAACATTCATCGCAGACAATCGCCATAGGACAACTAATCGACAGACGAGACAGTAGTGTCTGGGCGTGATGAAAATCTGATGCAACAACGGATGATGCAATATTTTTCAAGGCCAGACAAATTTCATCATACACTCCCAAAATAGATTTATATAACTACAAATCACTGCAAATGACCGAATCTGAAGAAAAAAATAGAATTCGATAAAACCCTGTCACTCTTGTGGGTGTAAAACTAACAGTATAGTGAAAAAAAGGAAACTAAAGCGGTTGCTTCAATTCATTTGCACAGGGGTGTTGCTATCAGTTGTAAGATGTAAATAATGTATGATTTTTAGCAACATGAAGGGTCCAAGGTGTGAGAAACGAATTAGTGATATAAAAATCAAGCAAGCGCAGAAATTTAAATATCTGGAAAAAAGATTACATGAAGGAAATCCACAGGCGCGTTAGAATAGAGAAAATGCCTTCAGATAGCTAAACAGCGTATTAAGATAGAGGAAATATTCGGTAAAAATAAAGAAAATACATCTGAAACGCTATCATCGCCATTTTAAATTTTAGCTGGGCGTTGTTCGTTTTTTTTATTTTGTTGAATGCACATGATAGTAATGTTAGTTAGGCACCGTCTGTGAGAAAAAGACCACCATGATGCAATTTGGAAACCGCATGCTGTACTGCTTGGAATTCGCACCGGAATCTTCAATACGAACATTTCAGAGCGTTTGGATGTCAATCTGATGAGAGTGCAGAAGAATCGGAAAGAGCTGGATGAGTCTAATGGTGATTACGAAGGTACGGCAGCTCGGAAAAATCTTTCTGATCGTTCTGATAAGAAAAGAACTCCCGAATTTTTGGTGAGGGCCTCAGACTCAACTACATCAAGTGCCTTGAGGAGGTGGTGCTGCTCTGAGTCAAGAAGATTGGCAGGTGAACGACCCTGGCAACAGGACTCACGCATGCAGGAGAACCCAGTATTGCTGTCAGTCAGTGTTTCCGACTACATCATCTCTTACATGTGGCTACCTAACTCCCCAGGCTGCAACCATCTTGATTATTATGTGTAAGTAATTGAACAAGATGCCAACAAAACTCCTTCTAACATATATATATATATATATATATATATATCGGGGTTAACAGAAAAATTGTCCAAATCGTGTGCAACAGCATAATTATCCACCCACAAAAAATTTTTCAGGCTTTCAGATAAGACGTTTAGCCGTCTTGACACCATTTTTATAAGAATCACTGAAAAATCATTTTAGTTATTCAGCTAAAAACAGATCAAGTTATTTTTTTTGTGTTAGCCCCACTGTCTTCCTAACTGAGCAATGGTGAGAAGAAAAAGATCATTCAGGCCTTCAGTAATGGTACCAAAATTCATACTCTGGCTTCCATTTTCATAGTCTATTCAAGAACCATCAAGAAAACTGTGAATAGGTTTAAATAAGGGGGAACGGCATAGAGGAAATCAGGAAGAGGGTTCATCATTTCAACTTAGACCTAAAGAAATTCATTAGAAACGATTCAACTCTCTTCATAAGGTGTTTGGCACGGTAGAGAGGCTTTTCACCTATGACAGTCCAAAGATCAGTGAAAAAAGACTTGAAAATGAAATCGCACGTGAAACGTATGAGGAACCTTGTTACAGAAATTTAGGAGATTAGAGAGGGCGAAGATCATCTTGAATAAGTTGGAAAATGCTCCTGGAATATATATATATATATATATATATATATATATATATGTGTGTGTGTGTGTGTGTGTGTGTGTGTGTGTGTGTGTGTGTCTGTCTGTCTGTGTGCGTGTGTCTGTGTGTGTATTTGAACTTTGTATCAATACTTCATGAGTTTCCGATCCTTAGCTATAATTAATTGATGATGAACATGTCATTTTCCTTTATGATTGATTTCATCACGATACTTTTGCCAAGCTTGGAGAGTAATTATACATTCTTATTATTCAAAAGTAGAGCCTAATAATGTTATAAAAACCTCGGAGAATTCCAGTAAGATATCTGTAATCATTTTTAAGATACAACGGTTCAGAGCTTGATCTAACAATTGAAAAATTTTACTGTTACACCCGGCATACATGTGTGTGTGTGTGTGTGTGTGTGTGTGTGTGTGTGTGTGTGTGTGTGTGTGTGTCAGTGTATGTGTTTGCGCGAAGCAATTTTTATATACACGAAGTTCATTATGGTGTAATCTTTTCCAAGCTTATTTTAACGAATATTAATGCTTTGTGTTTGATCCTTACTGGGATATATATATATATATATATATATATATATATATATATATATATATATATATATATATATATTTAAGACATTTTATGTTTAACGTTGTTATTTATAGATACAAGTATTTAAGCAAATTTAATGGCCTATGATAAAGAAATTTTAAAAAATATTTTCTTTGACAGGATATTTCCGAAAATTTTCGGACATTCAGGCCGGTAAATGTTAATACTGTTTATTTAAACAGAGCATTTGCTTAAATACTTTATCTATAAATAACAACGTTAAACATAAAAATGTCTTTAATAAATAAATTGTCGGACCATGTCCATTTCTTAATATATATATATATATATATATATATATATATATATATATATATATATATATAGTTACCTGGGTGTGTATGTCTGTGTGTGCAATATATATATATATATATATATATATATATATATATATATATATATATATATATATATATATATATATATAAAACCTGGGTGCGTGTGTCTGTGCGTGCAACATTTGGAATATCAATAGAAGTGTCATTTACGTAGATTTGGCGAATTGCTTATACCTGTAGTGGACTCTAATATTGACGTAGTAGAAAAATTATTTTTTCTTGTGTTCAAATTGAAAAAAATAGGATTCCATAAGAATACAATGGGAATGGTGGATCAAATGGCACTTATTTAGTTTAATATTCAGAAGATATTAACCCCCACAAAAATATAACTTTTTAAAAATATTTTATAAGTACGATATAGTTGGAAACTTACCTACAGTTTTGACAGAACATGTAAAATACTAAATAAAGTACTAAATAAGTCCTAAATAAAGTTGATATGCTATGAGATTCTCGTTCTTGATATCGAAAAAGTTTCTTCAACTAAGTTTTAAACGTAGATATTACTTTACGACTTCAAGGCATTAGTTAGGCTGTATTCATTTTAAATAAATTATATTATATATATATATATATATATATATATATATATATATATATATATATATATATATATATAATTATGTTTATGTACTTCCTTATTTACCGTTTCCCGAAATAAATAAATCTATGGTAGCTGGAACGGAATCAGCTACAACCTACCTGTAAACAGACTCAATCTGTTTTCAATTGACATCATGAAAATAATTTGTACAGCCTGGAAGCTGTCGAAAATGCCTGTAGCTATCATGCGTCATCGAGATATATATCATTTTTACCTCATGAAGAAAATCGTTCAATAAATCTTCAGTACAACGTAAAAGAAAGAAAGAAAATCATTTACAAAGCTGTTGGGTCACAGACGTTGGACAGAAACGACATATCGAAAAACAAAATCATCAGAATCAACTTCTGTATCATGTTTTTTATTTTTATTTTATTCTGGCTTGATTCCTTTCTGCGGCAGAAGAATCGGAGAGACGTTCGAATTCTAGCCAACTTCAAACCATCTGATGCTTTATAGGTCCTGCCTCTTTAGGCAAAGGATAGAAGAAGATAACTTTAAAAACAAATCCACATCTTAGAGGCGGGACGGGCAAACGTCAATATTTCTGGTGAAAAAGGAACCTGCAAGTCATTGCACTCTTCTGCTTTGTATGTCACCATAAACAAGAATTATGAGATGTAGGCGAATTGGGACCAAAGCTGCGCAAAATGCGCTGAATTAAATGAAAAATGACTTTTTTTCTGGGAATATGTTATTCATACAAACGGGAAAGTCAAAAATTATTGCCGCTCTTCTAGAATGAGATATTGTGGCGAGAGTGCGGATAATTTTTGACTTACCCTCGTACCTTTGAGGTTCTATAAAATTTAGATAAAAACATGCAGCAGAAAAAATCCTCATACTGGTCAAAGATAATAGCGAAAGTAGCCGTCTCCAAACATCAAACATTCGACATTCAGGGACCAAACATTTAACGATACTCTTAACTGAAATATTTTTACGTAAAACAGTTTTTCTTACAAAATCTGCTAAATGTTAGCGCTATTTCTAGAACTGAAGGCTTACGCTGAGACACCGGTTTACATACGATCACCGAAGTTAAGCAACATTGCGCCTGGTTAATACCTAGATGGGTGAGTGTTTGGGAATGCCATGTTTTGTCAGATTGAATGTGCGGTTGTTGTGCTGCATAAGGATTCGGAAATCAGAGAGCCATGTTCCAATCCCGGTCGGTTTTCGTTATATTCACTTATAACCTTGAGGAAGGCATGGATCCAAATTTTTTTCTCCCAGTTATGGGTTAATAAGTAGGGCATGTATTAGTAAATCATTATCTGTAAAAATTTCTTCAAATTTGAAAAAAAAAAGACATAACAACAAGAAAGAACACATGGCACAGTGGCTAAAGACATTAATTAGATCCAGTGACTGGACCCAAAAAGTGTGAGTTCAATACGTGGTTAAGGCAGTGGAGAACTTGGAGAGGGGAATTAACAGGAGATAACTGACATTCATTAGACGTTGATAGTTAGTCGAACTAACAACGGCCTTTTCATTGTGTGTGCCGCGTCCCTGCACCAGAACGTGAGCGATCCTGGCTCTACAAAACTTCTTGTACTTTATAGACCTCTTTTTTTCATTTTGCTATCTCTCCTAATCTCTGTTCTGTCAAACATCTGCAGAAGATAGTTAGATAGATTATTCGTTACTTACTTTTATTTCTCATGCATTCAGTATATCCCGTGAGTGTCAAATTCGCCGAGCTCTCTTTCTTCATTACATGTTGAAGAAATCTCAGTTGTCTCTTTATGATACTAAGAGTAAATATTCGTAAGTATCCTTTTTGTTTCAATTTTCCCTAAAAACGCATTACTTCCTCGTTAGTCATGTATTAAGTACATATTATCCTCATCGTCTTTTTTTAGAACGATATTTCTGTTGCCTCAAATCTCTTCTACCTAGCATACATTGTCATATACAAGTACCGGTATTGCATTATAGTTTAGATCTCTTTACTTTGTTTCCAACAAGATTTCTCTGTTTCGTAATAGTATACATGAGTTTTAGAAAATATTTTTCGGTATTGCACCTCTTGTTCGGATTTCAGTGTCGCACTTCCTTTTCTCTGTTAAATCACTTCTTAGATATTTAATTTTATTGAGCTTGCTTCTACTTCGTAATTCGCATCTTGGATGATTCCTGCTGGCTCCAAGAGACAGCTATAAAAATTAACTGAGCTTTTATTAAATTTCACCAAAAACAAATCTCAAGGACCCATAAAAAATATGGGCATACATTCGAAATCGTCATAATGAAAGAACAGTGAGATATACAGGGTGTTGCAGCAAAATCCGACACTTGACAAAAAGAAAACGAAATAGACAATAAAAACAGAAGTTGTATATGCTGAGACCCGACAGTTTATTTAGCAACAGTTAGAGTTACATACTACATTATTTCGCGAAATGAGTCACACGCTTTGGCGACCATGTCCTTGTCCATAGCGGCGAACGCCTCCATAATAGCAACATTCAGAGAGTCGACCGTGTTGTGGGCGTGCTTGTTGGTCTTGGGATCGATTACGCCCCAGAAGAAATAGTCAAGGGAGTTGAGTCGGTTGAGGAGGGCGACCACAAGTCCGGCGACCAGTGGTGAGGAACACACTGTTGAGCAGCCACGCCTGGGTTGTCTTGGCCTTGTGTGCAGGAGGGGAGTCCTGCTAGAAGACGTACGGGTGTCCGGTGGCGATCTCGTCCATCCAGGGCTTCACCACACCCCTCAGCACCTCCTGGTAGATCTCAGCGGTGACTCTTAAGCCCTTTTGAAAAAAGAATGGAGACATGACGTCCCCTTCGCTGGAGATGACGCCAAGGACCATGACGGAGGAGGGAAACTTCGTATGCTTCACGACGGGAACCTCCTCGATGTCTTTGCAGATTCACCTGTCGTTCTGCCTGTTGCTCGTCTGATCCCGAATGAAATTCTTTTCATCAGAATCCCGGCAGACCCATGCTTGAGCTCGTTCAGCAAAGCCGCCGCCTTGACCTTCCTCGACTCCTTGGAGGTATTCGTGATGAGCATACAGTGAGACTTGCGGTAAGAGGAGTAACCAATGTCCTTCTTGATCGTTCGACAGATTATCAACTTGTGACCGCCCAAGTCAGTGGCGATCTTGGCGTAGCTCTGGCTTCCATCATTGTCGACTGTCTCGTTGACGGCGGCGACGAACTCGTCGTTCCTAACGGCCGAAGAACGAACGTTGTGGGCCTTTCGTTTGGCAGTAAACTCGTCCTTTCTTCGCACACGCCTTCCACTTCCTCCAAATATCAATGACCATGGTCCTCTTGAACCCAAACTAGGCCATCACTTTCGCAGGCTTCTTCCCGACGCGAAACGAAGCTACTACCACTGCTCTGCGCTCATATTCCATCCTGGAAAAGGATAGAGAAAAACATTAGTTAGTTGTCAAACTGTCGGGTCTCTGCATATACAACTTTTGTTTTTATTGCCTATTTCGTTTTCTTTGTGTCAAGTGTCGGATTTTGCTGCAGCACTCTGTAAATGAAAGTGGTAGTTATGAAGATGAGAATACATAAAGACTGACTCTTGACTTGCGAAGGTCAAAATTAAAGTAATCATGGCAGCACGTTTGGAGTCGTCTACTCTACAAATTGTCAGTTCTTGATAAAATGCTGTTTGAGTTAACTTTCTTCTTATGTTTGGAAAATGGAAGAAATAAGGATGACTCGATTCCATGGAATTTCCATGGCGAGCGCTTACAGTAAATTTCTGAATTGGTGGAAATAAAGTTGTTCTGCAGTGATGATGCGATTCTACACGCCATTGCACAAGCTGTGATAACATCCAAGGTCGGCTGTATGCATATCCACCGGCGCTCGCTATGTTCCAAAGATTAATTTCCATTATGGCCGTGAACGACTTCAACAAGGAAATAACGACAAACGCTTTCTAAGAAAAAAAAAAACGATTTCTCAGTTATCTTCCTTGTGCTATGAGAGAGCGATTTTCTTTTATGACTATCTGACTACTCATCAAGTTAAGGCCAGGGTAAACAGACCACTACACACACACTTTCTTGACCGTTTCACTCACTAGTCATATGGTTACTGGCTGGCGAACACGGGTTCCACCAATCGGAAAGGGGGCCCTCCAAACAGATTTTGGGTGATTAGTCTTTCAAAGGACGTTTCTCTGGCTGTATAAAAACACTAACAAAACATTATGTTTTACAATTCATAAGCAGGCTGTAGACAGAATTTCTGAAAGAATCTCGTTTATTAAATTTACTCAAAATAAATGAGTAAATAAGATATTCCTAGAGAAGATTAACTGTCATTGCATTAATTTTGAAATAATATAATAATAATAATCTCATCATACGAGATGTAACCTATGAATTATGTTTAAAAAATGATCAAGCCTAAGAATAAGTCGGTGCTTTGAAAAAGAGGCTTAAGTTATTTTTTATTCAAAGAAGAAGTATGTTTCATTATAAATTTCGTCGAATATTCTTCATTTGGTGTCAATTTTCCACTATCTCAGCTTAATATGGTGGTTCTCAGTTCCAGCTACTACTACTACTACAGCCACTACTACTACGACCACTACTACGACTACTACTACTACTAAGACCACCACCACTACTACTACTACTACTAGGTATTAGACAATATGACATGAAAATTTGAACAAAATAAGACAGCATTCTGCTTGCGGATTTGGTCCCGGTATAGCTGAATCCTTGCGGCCAGCGCAAGGCAATCTCTAAGAATCATCAAACGAGATGTAACCTATGAATAAATGGTCAAGCCTTAGAATAAGTCGGTGTTTTGAAAAAAAAGACTTAAGTTATTTTTCATTCGAAGAGGAAGTCTGTTTCCATTATAAATTTCGACGAATATTCTTCATTTGGTGTCAATTTTCCACAATCTCAGCTTAATATGGTGGTTCTTCAGTTCCAGCTCATATACCTTCCCTTGCGATACAAGATTCCCTCAATTCCTCCTCCATTTTGAAATGTCATTTCACAATTGATTCATCTTGAAACATGACTTTTATATGATTTACATATACATTCCTCCCTGGTTCATTTGAACAAGAGTAGAGGTCTATCCCTTGTTTTCTGTTTAGGATTGGGCTCCCGATTCCTTATAAGGTCTACTCCAACTCTATACTTCTAACGTCTTCCCATAAAAGCTAAAATTTTATTTACTATTTATTTATTAATCTATTCTTACCAATATGACTAGATATGTTTGCCTATTGCGCGCTTTACACACCTCCAGTCTTTTGAACAGGAGAAGAGGTTTGTTCGTTGTTTCCTCTTTCGGATTGAGTTTCCATATTTCCTTCTAAAGCCTTTCATTTCCCTTCGCTCCTAGTGGCCCGTTGCGTCTTAGTGGCATTATCGCCATGCTTGGGAGGAGGGGGTTTGTTAAATAATTAAGAAAATATATGACCTGAGAATTTATCAGATTTGATTTCGTCTTAGTGGCTTTATTGTTTTGCGTGTGTTGAAATGATTATTTTCTGTGTTCTTAATTCTTGCTCTTTTAGTCTTCTCGCCACTTAATAATGTTTTTTCTTATTCATTCACACTCAGTACCCGCCTCCACTGCGTCTTAGTCGCTTTCTTGCCTTGTCTGGAGCGAAGTAATTCAAAAAGAATATCCGAGAGAAATATGGATGACAGAATAGGGATTTTAGGTAATAGTAAAGAAACAAATATTTCTTAGAGCTATAAAACGTAGGAAGTAGTGGAGAGTTATGATCGACCAGATGAATATGGAAAAAGTTCTGATTTAATCTTACTTTCTTCGGGTTTCCTAGAGTTTACTATAACAGACAGAAGGCATTAAACCGTGAAATTTGTGACGAAAAGAAACACAAAAGTTGAAAGAATTATAATAATAACGACTCATTATCATGTGAGTACCAGCAAAAATCAGAAAATAATTTTAAGAAAAAGGAAAATAAAATAATCTGAACACTGATGACTTTCCTGTCAGGCGTTGGCAAATTTTAAAATCAATTTTAAAGTATCGATTTTCTTTTTTTTGCGTTTTCTAATAAATTCTAAGAAGTTTACCGAAGCGTAGAGAATTGTAAGTTTGGTTTGGAGAGAAATAAAGATTTTCTCC